TGATTTTTTTTGCACCCTCAGATTCCAGATTTTCAAATAGTTGTATCTCGGCCATCTTTCAGATGATGTATAAATCTCAATTTCGAAAAATTGACCCTTATGACTGGTTTTGTGGTCCAGGGTCACAAATGGGTATTTATTATTCAATAGTTTAATATGTAAAATCTGATTAGATGAGCCATGATGCATTGTTTTGATTATTATTGTTACTTATTTTTACAAACAATAAATTATTATTATTATTATTATACATTCCAAAAATATGAAGTAATGTTTAATGACATGTTATTTATCAAATTAATAGTTTCATATGAGACATGAAATTATTTTATCAATTTTATTACTTTTAAAGGGTTTATCTTAGTTTATATTAGTTTATTGTAGCCAAAATGGATATTTATTAATCAATAGTTGCATCTGTACAATCTGATTAGATGCTCCATGTCACATTATTTTGATTATAGTTATTATAATAGTTTATTATAATTATATTATTATATTTTTAAATAATTTATTATTATAATAGTTATTACTTTAATTCAAATAGATAATAAATAATACATGTTGTTATTATGATTAATATTACTACAAAGGTTTTCATTGTATTTATTGAAGTAATCTGTTTTAGGGCTGTAGCAAATTATTATTTTGATGATCATTTAATCTATTGATTGTTTTTTATATTGAATCTATTTATTATTTTCTGATTAGTCCATTAATCCTTACCAATAACCTTAGTTAACCTTCCAATAAATAATAACCATACTTCTGCCATTAATCTTTCAACATTTTATTGAACCATTTTCACCTAAAATACTTTGCAAATTAAAAAAAGTTACTGTATCATTCCCTCAAAAAGTTTCTGACCCTGTCCTTAAGATGAATGTTCTGCTTCACAGGTGACAGGTAAGATGGATGAAAACCAGTTTGTGGCCGTGACGAGCACCAACGCTGCCAAGATCTTTAACCTGTACCCACGGAAGGGTCGCATCGCTGTGGGCTCTGATGCCGATCTGGTGCTCTGGGACCCCGACACCACCAAAATCATCTCTGCTAAGAGCCACCACCTGGTGAGAAGAGTTTGTTTATAACTAAATCACTTTGAAAAAGATTGGATTTAATAATGTTTGTTAGCTGAGAAGGAAGCTCTGGGGTCTGAGTGTTAGAGTAGTGCATCACAGGCTGAATGCACTTTAAATGAATCGTAATGTGGGTGACACCATTAGGTCTGGACCAGCTCTGACTCCCATGATCCTCTGCTCTGAGCTGTTTTGGTATTCTGCTGACTCACTCGCTCTGTCTGCTCCTGTTTGTCAGTGAGGCTGATGCTGCGGTCTGTGCTGATTTAATTCGACCGGAAGGAGACACAGATGCGGTCAATATAGAAAGAGTAAATTATCTGAGCGCCGGTGAACTCTGGGATATGTTAATGTACATTATCATTCAGAAGTCTACTAATTTGAAAGAAATTAGTACTTTTATTCAGCAAGGATGCATAAAAAGGCAATCTTACCAAAGACCTCTGTTTCAAACAAATGCCGTTCTTTTGAATTTTTTATTCACAAAAAAAATCCACTATAAAAAGTATCACAGTTTCCACAAAAATATGAAGCAGCACAACTGTTTTCAACATTGATAATAATCAGAAATGTTTCTTGAGCAGCAAATCAGCATATTATACTGATTTCTGAAGGATCATGTTACACTGCAAACTGGAGTAATGATGCTGAAAATTCAGCTTTGCATCACTTTGCATCAATTACATTTTAAAATATATTCAAATTTTTTATTTTTATTTTAAATCATAATAACATTTAACAATATTACTGTTTTTACTATATTTTTAATCAAATAAATGCAGCCTTGGTGAGCTTTTTTCAAAACATTTTTAAAATCTTCCCGACCCCAAACCTTTGATCAGTAGTGAATCTGTTTTTTCCATAATGTTTTAGGTTTATTTACTATTTAATTACTCTGTGCTACAGATTGTTTTGAAAGTAGAGAGCCTCAAAATCTCAGCTAGACAGACTTTTAAGCAATGTAGTGGTTAAAGATGAGAGCTCTTCCCTCGTTCTGTCATTCTCAGGCGGTGGAGTACAACATCTTTGAGGGGATTGAGGTGCGTGGAGCTCCTCTGGTGGTGATCAGCCAGGGCAAGATCGTCCTGGAGGACGGGAACCTCCACACCACTGAGGGTTCTGGACGCTACATCACCCGTAAACCCTTCCCAGACTACGTCTACAAGAGGATAAAGGCCCGCAGCAGGGTATATACACATACATAGATGCATATACAAACAAAAGACTCGCAGTTTAAACCTAACCCAGTTTAAAGTGAAATTTGTCAAATCATGGCGTCTTTCATAGCAGCTTGCTGAGCTGCGTGGAGTCCCCCGAGGTCTGTATGACGGCCCGGTGTGTGAGGCCACTGTGACACCAAAGGTCATGACCCCTGTCACCTCCAGTAAGACTTCTCCGGTCAAACACACTCCTCAACCAGTTCGCAACCTGCATCAGTCTGGATTCAGTCTATCTGGTGAGTGTACAACTAAATGCCCTATTCTTATTTTTGAAACAAACGTATATCATTTGCTACCAATGAACTTTTCAGAATGGCATATATTTGCCATACTATTTTGGCAGTATGCTATATATATATATATATATATATATATACTAGCGTTGTAATGGTACACAGAAATGATGGTTTGGTACATAATTTTGAAGTCATGGTTTGGTATGTTTTTGGTACAGCAGATGGGAAAACACTATAAAACTAGGAGTTTTATAAATTAAATTCTGCATGTGCAGTGGTTTAAAAAAACACTGTATTTGTTCAGTACACTTGCGTACCGAACTGAAAGACCCCAACTTAAAATTTTCGATATCAGTACGTGTACCGTTACACCCCTAATATATGCTGTGCACAGTATTCACATTTTCTGTAATGTGCAACAGTCAAGTCACCTTTATTTGTATAGCATTTTATACAGTGCAGATTGTGGTAATTAATAGAATCAATGATGCGGATTTCTTTAAATATGAGACATTCTAATTCTGCTGTAAAACAGCTCTAAAAAGACAGTAGTGCCTTTATTCAGTTCGTGTCCATTCAGCGTTGATTCAGTTGAGTTCAGAAGATGCAAAATGATATGCAATATAGAGTACAACCAGAGCACACTGTATCCCACAATGCACTGTGCTCAACTTGACCTTCAATTTCCACTGTGATGAATGAAGCCATCACAAAAAGTTTCCTTTTTGGCTCATTGTTTGATCACTCTGCCAAAGATTTTGACATTTTTACATATATTTTGATTAAAAAAATGTGATTCAAATTAGAATAAAAAAGTGTCTTATTTATACAGTATTAACTTAATTAGTATACTCGCATAAAGCAATATATACAAATTCATTGTTTGATCACTCTGCCAAAAATTTTGAAATTTTTACATAAATTTTGATTAAAAAAAATGTGATTCAAATTAGAATAAAAAAGTGTCTTATTTATACAGTATTAACTTAATTAGTATACTCGCATAAAGCAATATATACAAATCTCGGCTACGTGATTGTTGAACCATATTATCGCAAAGCTTCTAATATAAAGTTGGATATATAAGTACGTCCAACTTTTTTCCGCATGACTACAGTATACTCATATGTGGCGATATACTATATAGCATATAGCTAATTTCAATTGCTTGATTGTTTATATCAGTTTTTTATTCTTGCATACTTTTTCACATAATAGTTTTATAATATATAGAGCAAATGTCCACTCTGTTTTGCCAACTGTTTTTTTTTTCTTTCATCATTTCACAGGGGCTCAAATTGACGACAACATTCCTCGTCGTACCACTCAGCGCATTGTGGCGCCCCCAGGTGGCAGGGCCAACATTACCAACCTGGGATAAAATCATTTACTCATTACGGAGAAAAAAGGAGGGGGTGGGATGGGGGTTAAAGAAACTTGGGCTTTTCCTCCGGGATCGGTCCAGACGTCTGGACTGCATCCCAACAAGCACACCTCTACTTCCGCCGACACTTCTGTCCATTCATCCACCCCTAACACCCATCCTTTTAACTCTAGCGTCCTGTTTTTGAGTGCATCTTTCTTAGATTAATACGTTTCAGGATGACTTGGCATTGGTACTGGAATGCCGGATATGTTGCGTTATTTCACCTGACTACGTTCAGAACAGCATACTAATAATTCTTCAGTATGTATACTGTGCATAGTGTGGGGTCTCTGTTTGCATGGAATGACCTGCTACATGCAAAATGTGCATTATGCAACAGAGCATACTGTACTGTGTACTGTATCCCATAATACAATGCAACCTTTCATTTCTCATGTGACGAATGAACTGGAAATAATGTCATCTTTTTCTTATTTGTTATTTGGTCAGACTGTCTAAATTAGGATTTATTTTAACATGCAATTGGATTAAAATGCAAAATAACTGTATTTATTAACGCCTTGATAAATGTGATATAAACTTTGAAAAACAAACACTGTTGTTTTTGGCCAAGTGGTCCTGAAACTTATCTGGCTAACCAAGTAATCTATGTTCAAAGAACAGGAACTACCCAGCTAACAAATATATGTTCTAAGAACGTTTTGTGAATGTTTGTATTAAGTTATTGTTCTCTGAACATTCAAAATGGCCAGTTAAAAAAAAAAAGAAAACAAACATCATGGGAATGTTACTGTTGAATGTTCTCTGAGCCTTCTTAAACTAGCAAGTAGTAACGGTTAAAAACATTTAGACAAATGTGGAACTAAAAGATTTCAGAAAAACGTTCCATGAGTGATGTATCAATAACGTTTTTGTGTTAAGGATTAAGAACATTATTAAAGATAGCCATATAGCTTTGAATGAACATGCTATCAGCGTAACTGGAAGAATGTTTGTTCATAACTTCGAGAGAACCTTGCCAGAACGTTCTGATAACGTTTTGTTAGCGAGGTAGTACTATCCGTCATTTGCCTCCGTACTTTAATGTTTTTATTTGTTTTGCATTCTGGAAATGAACAGCACAAAACTCCCGCCTGTATGGTTTAGTGTTAAACGTGCTGTCGCCATGTTGATTTGTTGTTTTTCCTTGTAGGAAGAGTCGATGAGTTATTTATTGTTCAGGATTCAAACCACATTTGCATTTTGCAAAAGTGTCAACTCTTCCACAAATGCCTGATTTATTACAAGTTTTTAAAATGTTGTTTTATAATGAACTTAATAGTTGGATTATTTTTTTCTATGCATGTTATGATTTCGGTTTCAGGTCAGTGTTTCAACGCTTCCTGAAGTCCCTCACGTTTGTCTTCCTCACGTTTTTGCACTTCATTATTTTCTCTCAGTATTATTTAACTGCCGTTTTGGAGATGTTTAGAGCAAAGAAAAAAAATGTAACAGTGGTGTTTTTGGCTGTGGTGCGCAGTCCTGTGGGGTTTTGGTGTGATTTGAATTCACTCATTTTTCGCTATAAATGTCAAACTGTCCATTCCTACGTTGTCCCATAGTTTTCACGAAGGGGGTCTCACCAGAAACAATACAATACAGTTGAGAAAATAAAGGAAAACTCTCTGGGTGAACAGCAGATCGAGGGGGAGGTGCTCTTTTCACCCTTTCATTTCGGTTTAGGAGGAAGGCGGTTACTATAGCAACGGTCCAGCTCACTCAGAGTGGATGCTGATTAGTTACACCAGCTGTGCCGTGCTGGAGCGTTGCCCCGGTAACCTCTTCACACCGGGGGTTTATTCGTGCGGTGGATCTCGGCACTGTGACGTCACAGCTGCTCCACGGGCCGTCCCGCAACAGAACCGACCTTTACCGTGAGGACATTTTGAAGGATGCAGTGACTCAGTCTGTCAAACGGATTGTCTGGCATGTGTAAGGTTGATCAGTGTTATTCTAAATTAAACGTTAGGTCACAATGCTGTTCTTTCGTTGTAGTTCTGCTTTGTTTTTATAAATTGACTTGCCTGCCTATTCACGAAGAGATACAGTTCTTGGTTAATGTCTGTGAGTGTTGTTATGACAAGCTGAACATTTCTCATGGAAGATGTGTACACAATTCATCATTCTTCATTTCTTTTGATTGTTACAATAAAATGCAGTTGTGAACAAAAGCCTGTACAGCTTGTCCAATGTCAAAACACATTATTCACAAACACATTATTCCCATCTGTTTTAAGTATTTGCCCTTCTTCATTGATGATGTCAGGTGGTAATCTGTTGATGTTGTGATATATAGTGATCCCATCTGTATTTAGACACTTTTAATTTATAGTTTGCCCAGAAATGAAAATTCTGTCATTTATGGTCCGGACTGGATAAATACGTATGTATGTATTTATGTATAGTAGCCACCTTTTTCTGATGTGCGCCGTCATGATGGATTCTAACTTCCGTTTGGATGCTCTCGTGTTCCGGTCTCCATATAAATCCATGTTAGAATGGAGTAAAAAGCTCGAATTAATTAATTAAACTGAACATTTTTAAATGTAACTAAATATAAAAATGTGCGCAGGGTTAAGCTGTGCGTTAATTTGACTAGAAACACCAGAGACCATAAAGCATCGTTCCAGTCGGGCGAGACTTCATCCCTATTTATAACCCACAAACTAAAGTGAGCTCCGCAACCTTTATTAAATCGACCACCAAGTTGGGAACCACTGTGAATAGTTACCGGTTTGAAAGACCATTATGAGGCGGACAAGACTTCCGTGTTCAGGAAAAAGGTGGATAGTATGGGGGGGGGATGCTGTGGAGGTCAATGGGGATTAGCAACTGTTAGGTTACCTACATTCTTCAAAATATTTTCTATTATGTTCAAAAGAAGAAAGAAACTCAAAACAGGTTTGGAATAACTTGAGGGTGAGGAAATGATGACAGAATTTTCATTTTTGGGTGAACTATCCCTTTAAGTCACACTTGTCTGAATGCCATTGACTTAGATCGGTATCTTGACTTTTCTTCATTTGTGCTTAACAGCTCTCTCCTCCACATCATGAGTAGACACGCCCCTTACTGCTGATTGGCTACAAGTTTGTTTTGCTATTCGGGCCCAAATCTGTTTTCTAAAGCGTTTTTGAAAAATCGCTTACCCCACCTTTAATGTCTTTGAATCAGCTGGTGATTTGGTGATTTTAGTGACTTTATGTAGGCTTACAGGGCTACAGGGGAAGTCGTGGCCTAATGGTTAGAGAGTCGGACTCATAACCCAAAGGTTGTGGGTTCGAGTCTCGTACCGGCAGGGATTGTAGGTGGGGGGAGTGAATGTACAGCGCTCTCTCCACCTTCAATACCACAACTGAGGTGCCCTTGAGCAAGGCACCGAACCCCCAACTGCTCCCCGGGCGCCGCAGCATAAATGGCTGCCCACTGCTCCGGGTGTGTGTTCACGGTGTGTGTGTGTTCACTGCTGTGTGTGTGCACTTTGGATGGGTAAATGCAGAGCACTAATTCTGAGTATCGGTAATCTAACTTGGCCACATGTCACTTCACTATTTATTAGTCAGTTCTTCTCATTTTTGCACAGGTGTCCTACCAAAGGAACCACACAGTTCATTACATTATCTACAAATATTTTCCTCTGATGCTTCACAAACTTAAAGTGACACAAAAAATATTATTAAAAATCATTTTGATTCTTCCCCTTTTTTTAAAACACACACACAAATCACTAGTACTTATATAAATGTATTAAAAAAAAGTATAAGATAAGACAATAATTAACAATACAAGTATAAACATACTGCTAATACTAAATCCAAGCCACCTTCCACACACATAAACAATGGCTGCAGTCAAGGGGATCCGACAAGTCCATATATTTATTTTAATAGCTGAACTGTTTGCAATTTATGTGGAAAAATAGTAAAGATATCAGGCCTTTGAATGTTTTAGGGAGTCAGCTATTAATAAGTCATCTAGCAGATGATGCCACCCTGTTTCTTGGTGGTACAGAGCAGATTCCAGTTGCCATTAATCTGGAAAGATTAAAGCTTCTAGTCTGCAATTGAATTTTAAAAAAAGTGTGAGCTGATGGCACTTCATAATCACACTGAATCTCAATTGTTTAATATTCCATTAAAAAATTATGTAAAATATTAGGAATTGTTATTACTAAAGACTCTAAGATTAGAGAAGAAAATTAATTTGGTTGATAATATGAAAAAAATTAAAAAAGGTCAAAATATTTTAAATATGTGGTTACAAAGAGATATTTCTATATTTTACAATAAACATACTGCTAATACTAAATCCAAGCCACCTTCCACACACGTAAACAATGGCTGCAGTCAAGGGGATCCAACAAGTCCATATATTTATTTTAATAGCTGAACTGTTTGCAATTTATGTGGAAAAATAGTAAAGATATCTGGCCTTTGAATGTTTTAGGGAGTCAGCTGTTAATAAGTCAACTAGCAGATGATGCCACCCTGTTTCTTGGTGGTACAGAGCAGATTCCAGTTGCCATTAATCTGGAAAGATTAAAGCTTCTAGTCTGCAATTGAATTTAAAAAAGTGTGAGCTGATGGCACTTCATAATCACACTGAATCTCAATTGTTTAATATTCCATAAAAAAATTATGTAAAATATTAGGAATTGTTATTACTAAAGACTCTAAGATTAGAGAAGAAAATTAATTTGGTTGATAATATGAAAAAAATTAAAAAAGGTCAAAATATTTTAAATATGTGGTTACAAAGAGATATTTCTATATTTTACAGAATTCTCATACAGAAATCCAAAGCACTTTCCAGGTTGATTTACCCAGCATTTTCTTTGAGTATATCTGATAGGTGGACAAAAGACATTAATCAAATTCAGTATAAATTTAATTGGAAAAACAAGCACCTCACCATTATATAAGAAAGTCAGATGTAGTGAAGTCAGTCAGTGAGGGAGGGTTGAACAATTGATTTCGATGTTATGAATGGTGGCTCCAATCCTTCCTTAGGAATAAACATTCTGTTTGATTTAGCTTCTCTTCTAAAATCTAAAAATTTGAGCCATAAAAATTAAAGTGTAATTTATCATCTTTTCATAGTCAGGTTTTATTATATTGGAAATTAATATACAAACACAACTTTTCCCCACATAGTTGTTCTTTGTGTATCCTTATTAAAGGGAAATCTGCGGGGGGGTTCAGGGCTGGATGGACAAAGGCTGGTCCATTGTGCACATTATGGATGGGGATGGAAAGTTATGATTATTTTTGTGAAAAATACAATATTACTTGCACTCAGGAATTATATGTGTCTTTGGTGAAAGCTGTTCCTGCTGGTTTGTTCTTTGTGTATCCTTATTAAAGGGAAATCTGCAGGGGGGTTCAGGGCTGGATGGACAAAGGCTGGTCCATTGTGCACATTATGGATGGGGATGGAAAGTTATGATTATTTTTGTGAAAAATACAATATTACTTGCACTCAGGAATTATATGTGTCTTTGGTGAAAGCTGTTCCTGCTGGTTTAGTTCAGCTTATTAAAGGTGCATTGTGTTATTCACCTGTGATACCAAGATTAGGTAATCTAATCATCTCTGGTCTTCATTTTAGGGAGCAGAGCTGTAAGAATAAGGTTTTAAGAACATTAGTAAACACACTGATCTTCCCTTCTTAAGTAAAGAAGAGACCCCTTGTTTTGGATTTTCCTGAAGATAAAGTGGTTCGAATTAGAACACGATTTCTCTCTTCTCCACTTCTACCAAAAGTTAAATACATTGAGTTTTAAATTATTAACGATATTTATCCCTCTAATGAGTTCCTCAGACAAAGATTGAATTTGTCTTGCTATGAGTGCACCTCATTACAGACCTACATAGAGTCATTGGAACATCTGTTTTATTTTTGCAAATTATCTCAAAAATTCTGGGATTACCTCTATGCTTGGTTAAGTTTTAAGTATGTAATACCTGACTTTGGTTTTAAAACTGTTAAATGTTTGTCTTTTTCTTGGAATTGTGATGGTGAATTTTTGGTTAATAATATTGTGATTTTTGGCCAGTTACTTCATTCATAAATAAACCCTACTTTTCCAGAAAGGTTTAATGGTCTTCTTCAAATCTTTAAAACTCATGCGTCATAAAAATAAAATAAAAAAACCCTTAAACTATGTAATCTTTTGAATGTATTTTTTGATGATTAAGGCCCTTGTATAGTATTTTATTTCTGTATTTATTTTTCTTTCTTAAAGTTCTGATTAGGTTTATTTTGTTTATATGTTTATCTTTGCTATGCTGCTATTTGGACTTCTTGGAATTGTATTAAGAGTTTTCTTACTGTTGTTTACTTGGTATTTTGTATGTTCTTTCAAGTCATTTTTGTCTTCAGAAATCACTTAAAATAAATAAGTATTTAGCTATATTTATAAATAAACAAATAAATACAAATACATAGTGAGCCACCTAATCATCTGATTGGTTGATTGCTCTAGTCTCCGCCCACTCCAATGAAAACATTCAAGCGCTCATTGATCGCAGCTGCAGTAGAAGAGGAGGTAATAAGTGGAGTTTTTTTTACCACTTTATATCATTGTTCATGCTGCCAGGCTACATCACACTGACAATGCTGTCAATGCAGTGCATTGAAATGTTTTGCTCTCTAGCGCATTTTGGATATTTCCTTTATACAGAAAATTCATATTAGAGTATACATACTGCAGAAATTAAGTAGTATGCTATTTTGAACAGCCAAAGTGTTCAAACTCTGTGTTATACTCGCATGAGAACAGTAGGGGGTGTTGTAGGTCAAAGAAAAAGGCCTTCACATCTGGACCTTAGGCTCATTATAATGTATTTGAAGAAATATAAAGAAAAATATAATCTAATTATGAGTGGATCGAAAGTCAAGGTTGTGCACAATCATAGTACTAAACGATTACCATATTCAAAAACCATGGCTACTTCAAAAATACCATGGTACTATCATTGTAAATCTCTACAAAACATGTTATATTATATTATAAAAAAATTATATATATTCAAAAAGGCATGATTTTCTCATAGTGCATGCCCAAAAACATGCTATTACCATGTTAGACAAGTTACCTTGTCTTAAAGAAAACATAGTAATGAGTACTTT